ACTGAGCCACCCAGGCGCCCCTATAAATTATAATTTTTATAAACATATTACTTATTTAAATTATTGTATAAAATAGATATTTTAATATGTTTTTACTATTAAGTTTAATATATAATGATATATAAAATATAGTATGATGTATTATATTATATTATATTATATATTTGGTGGCTATTCTGTGTCATGGTTGCACCATCCCCTATTTAATTGGTCCCCTACTGATGGACATCTGGGTTGTTTCTAATAGTCTGGTCTTTCAAACAATGCTGCAATGATCAACCCTGTACATACATTATTTCCTGTATGTCCAAGTGTATCTAGAGGAGAAATTCCTAAAGTGGAGTTTGCAAGTCAAAGGTATCTACTTTGAAATTTTTACTTCTTTTTAAAAAAACTGAGTCAAACTCATATAACATAGAATTAACTGTTTTAAAGAGTGACATTTAGTACATTCACAGTGTTGTGCAACCATGACCTCTATCTAGTTCCAAAAGATCACTGTTACCCCAGAAGGAAGCCCTATACCCATTAAGCAGTCTCAAAAACATGATGTTAAATGAAAGAAGCCAGACACTAAAAGCCACATGTGTATCGTATGATTCCATTTATTGGAAATGTCCAGAATGGGCAAATCCGTAGAGACAGAAAGTGGATTAGCGGTTGCCAGGGGCTGGGGGTGGGGAGAAGGAGGAATGACGGCTCATGAGGACAGGGTTTCTTGTTGTGGTGATGACAATGTTCTGGAATTAGATTACAGTGGTGGTTACACAATTTTGTAAGTCTATCAATAATTACTGAATTGTACATATTAAATGGTTAAGAATAATATGTGAATTTTATCTCAAAATAAATTAAAAAAAAAACCCACATTGCTGATGGTGCTATCTTTGTCGGCTCTGAAAAGCCACATCTAACCCCTGCAGACCACTGGAATTTGATCTCTTCTTATCTCCTTGTGGTCTTTTCTCTTATTTTGGGACTTTGTCACATTTATCTTTCTCTCGCTGTCTCTTTCATATGTTTCTTCTACCCACTTCGGTTCTAAGCTCCTTGGGCTGCCCACCTGCCTTTTATCTCCCCAGCAGGCAGAGGGTGTTACTGGATAGTCAGTGAGTACCTGTTAAATAGATGAACATGTGAAATGCCTTTGGCGGGTGAGCCCCAGCACCACTGTTCCTGACTGCCATGGGCTGAGGAATTTTCTGCTCATTTTCATTGTGGACAAGTTCACCGTGGCTCTGGGGAATGAAATTGCAAAGACCAGGTTGGTCACCATCCTGCAGAGGAGCAAGGCGCCCACCGTGGGTTGACGCGGCTTCAGCATGCTTATCCAGGCAAGCAGGGGCTGCTGGGCGTCAGCCCTCATCAGGTGGTCCAGCTGGTCCCCCAGGTGTGCAGCATGCACCTCTTACCTGAAGGCCCTGGGAGAGAGGGAGGAAAAGGGCCTCCAGAATGGAAGATCAAAGGATAGCAATGGGGAACCTTAACAGGAAGTTTACAAAAGGGGAATTGTGAAAGATTTTGTCTAGAGCAGTGGTTCTTAAGATTTAGCAGCACCAAAATCACCTGCCTTCAGGTGATTGTGATTTGTTGACCCTAGATTGCCAAGCCCGACCCCCAAAGTTTCTGCGTCTGTAATTCTGGGGTGGGGCTCGATAATTTGCCTTACTAACAGGATCTGAAGTGAGCTCCTTCTGTACCAGTGACCCTATTTTGAGAACCACTGGCCTAGAGAATTCCTTATTCTTTATTTAATTCTAAACAGACTAGGAAATGCTACTTCAAAAAGAAAAGGGACTCTCTCTCCCTCTGCCCCTCCTCCCTGCTTGCTTGCACTTGCTCTCTTTCTCTCTCAAATAAATCTTGCTTGTGAAATGGAACCACCCGCACCGTAGAGCTCCTCTCTTGAAACTGCTCGAACACTACCTCGCTACAGCCACTCAAGCTTTTTGATTCATTCTAAAACTGGTCCTCAGACAGTTTATCCCATATCCTAGCATTAACTTTTCCCTATTTTCCAATGTCAAGAGATTCAGCCATGAAGCCATGTTCAGCAGATATGTTTCCTGCTGCTGAGCATCTTAATAAGTGTTCCAACAGGAAATAGGCAGAAGTTAGAAAAATTAGAGATGACAGAAATTTCAAATGTGTTAACACTGGTAAGGTGGGCACATGCAAATCAACCTAAAGATATTAGAAATTAGATTCATTTTAGAAAATAATAAACATCTCAAAGGAAACTAAGCTAACAGGGCTATGAGATAAAGAGGAGCAAGAAGAACATTAGCCATTCAAATTAACATGAAGCATGGTAGGTAACCAAGCACTAATAATGAGATCACAGTGTAATGTGTAACGTGGAGGCAGAAAATAGTCAACTTCAAACTAAGAGAGTCTATGCACATCTCTGAGAAAAAGGCATTCAGAAGAGCAGATATAAAGTTTAAGAAAAGGTTTCCTAACTCCCTTTGGGAATACAAAGAATTAAAATTCACCTGTTAAAGTGATAGAGAAGAGAGAATCACACCGGGTGACCCCAGCCAAATCACAGGACCACTGTTTTCTCACTTCTGTAAAATGGGGTTAAGAATACCCACTCCAAAGGGTGTTAGTGCACAATAAATCA